CGCCGCCCGCGCCGCGCATGCGCCGCCCGCGCCGCCCCTCCCCCTCCGTCTGCTGCGCCGCGGGCCGCATTAAAGGCGAGGACCTCGGACCCGGGCAGTTTTCTGTCGGCCCAACGCGCCTCAGTCCCCATACCATCCTCAGTGCCACCATCCTTCAAGGGCCACCTCCGGACGCACAATCTCTCCTCTCCCCCTGTTCGGTTCTGGAGGCCAGACCCCCATCCTCCCAGGCCACATCTTGAGTGCTGGGTGCCTGCCCTTCCCGGAGGCTTGATGGTGCTCAGGCCAGGTATCCGTGCGCGGACGGGGAAGGACTCGGTCTGGCTGAAGGTGATTGCAGGTCAGCCGACCTGGGCTCCAGGACCCGCTGCCCTCCCCCATCCGGGGCGCGCCCGGGGAATCCCCAGGACCCCCTCCCACCATTGCCCCCACTCCCAGGAAACCGGAGCCCCAGACTCCATGGAAGCAGCCTGACTCAGTCTAGGTTCCCCCGACCGTGAAATCTGGCTTTTATGGAAGCTTTCTCTCCCCTTAACTCCCATCCGTGGGTGCAGCCACAGCCCCTCAGATGCTGAATACCTAACCCTTCTTTCCCCCAGGTAAAACACCTCAGACTTCTTCAGCTGTTCCACACTCAGCATGGGGCCCCACAAGCATCTGCCAGCTGTGGGCACCTATGTCCTCACTGCCCCCCCCCACCAGCAGGCCTTGCTGCTTGTGTGTTACATTTAATAGCCTGAGGCTCTGAGATCCCTCCACCACCCAGGGCAGATGGAACCAGGGCCTGTTCTGCTGGCACCCCATACAGAGTGTCCCAGCTCCTTGGGAACACTCCTTGCCAAGGGCGGACCCAAGAGAATGGTTGCTGTTGCCCCAAGAGAGTGAGTGAACACCTAGGCCAGTGGGGACCAAGTGGGATCAGCCAGGGCAGCGGCTGGGTGGTCAGTGTTGCTGCCCAGCCTGGGAGAAGGGGCGGAGGCAGTTCGAACACAACTGGTCGAGCCGGAGATACAGCTCAGCGCACAAGGGCCTGCCTGGTAAGCGCAAAGTCCTGAGTTCGATTCC